TTGCCAACGTCTGCCACTTTTCACGTTAATATTGTCTGCCCTAGCTGCCCCCCTTGCCATGACTAAGGGCAAATGGGTGGAGTTGCTCTTAGAAGCAGTCACATCCCATAGGTTGACAAAGTGATAAACATCCAGGTCACAACGGCGTATTTATCATCTCTACATCCACGTGGCTCCATGTCACCTGCACACCTGGCCGAAAACCCCGAATCCTCAATCATCTAAGCCACCAGAGTCAAAAATATTCTCAACGCAAAACCTAAAGCTTAAAGCCATAAACCCTCACCAAGCAACTGTTTTCTCCTTCATATCCCCAAAACCCAAAAACCCTTATAGGGCGATGTCGTAAAACCCTACATACCAGTCCGAACCCGAACCGGAAACCGAAACGAAACCAAGCCGACCACCATGAGCTCCTTCACCAACACCACCAACTTCGACAACCTCATGCTCCAAACCCTCATGGGCAGGCTCCAAATCCGACCCCCAACGAACAACTCCTTCCTCTCGCAAACCCTCGAAGAACTTCTCTTCGACGCCGCCAATCTCTCTGGCGATGAAGACGACGACGACGAGAACAAGACCCAGCTCGCCAAAGAAGAATCCAAGCTCGAGAAGGACATCATCCGGGTCATTCTCAGCGGCAAGACCGATTCCCTCAAACCCAATTCGGGTCAGGCGGTGACGATTGGGGAGCATCACATTTGTGTCGGGTTTCATGAGGAAACGGGTTCGGATTATCGGGTCTGGGAGTGGCATGGGCATATCATGCTCTTCGATGAAGAAAATGGATACACTCCAGAGTATATATATGGGAATTACTTTGAGAGACTGATTGGCAAGGCTCGCACTGGCAGTAGTGGTGTTCGTGTTGAGGAGGAGGCTAAGGAGGAAGAGGAGGACAAAGAGCAGGTGGGAAATTTGGGGCTTAGGGAATTGATTGATGGTGGGGATTCGGGTCAGGGTCGGATTCTTCATCGGAATATCAATGCCGGTTCTTCAAGGTTTATATGAATTACCCTTTTTTTTCCTTCCATATTTTCGTTTAATGTGCTTGTGTTTTATTGCTCTCGCATTTTTCACTGTTGAAGTGCTTTGGATTTTGAAAGTTGTTGTGAGTTGCAGAAATGCTATATGCTATGTGATCTTGGAAACTTGTAGTTAGTGAATGCTCTACTTCAATTGCAATTTTGTGCTCATTAGCCTAAGATTTTATCCAACTTCTCAAATTGAGGTTTGGAGTAATCCTTCACTCAAATATCAGAGTAAAGAGCTTATGCGAACTGTTTTCGCAAAAGATGGCACATATGGAAGGACACATCTATTTTGTAGTTAGAAATGGTAGTAAGTTGGATTTCTGTTTGTTTTGAAGTTATCATAATTGTACTAACTTAAGTTGAAAGCTCAAAAGAAGATCATGTATTTCACTAGCACTGTAATGAACAGATATGCAGTAGGTTGAAGGAATTAGATTATAACCATTGGTGATTTTCTTGCTTAGATTATGAAAAAAGTTATCCTTTAGTATGTTCAAGATGTTGACATAAAAGCTTATGAAACTTCAAGTATCTGCCTGCTATTACCAGGTAGGCTGAGAAAAAGAAGTATTGGTCAAGTAATTTTTCGTATATATAGTCTGTTATCTTGAAATTGACAATATGAAGAACTAGGGACTAATTCTGCTACCACCCGCTCTTACCATCAATTGTTGCCATCTTCGGCAGGCATCACACAAGGACCTAGGGATTATTCTGCTTCTGCTTGCTCTCACCATCAATTTATTCTCATATTTGGTATTCTTAACAATATCCTTCCCAGCCACCCTTGATTGTTGACCCTTATGCTTGTTCAATCAATTTGTTTCGTGTTGATTTAATAACAAGGAGGTTTATAGTCCTCTTGGAATATATGTGTTCTCTGTCTAGATCTGGATCTTGTTTCAAATTGGTTGCTCCCTCAATATCTTTTTCTTCATCATGTTCTTATCCCCAGTAGATTCATGTGTCAATGTGAAGAAAAAGAAAATAATTGTAGCAGTTGAGTTGAATTCATCTTTAAGCAAGTTGTGCATATGATCCTTCTGAAGTCTCTTTCTCAAGCCTTCACCAAGCATTATATATTACTATGAAACCTTGCATGTGGTCTGTTTCCTTGTAATAATCTTCTACACTTACTTGAATCATCATGTTCCACTTGTGTTTGTGGTAAGCTGTGGTTCAAAGCTCCAAACTGCCAGGAATTTGTTTAGGATTTTGGAATCATGTCATTACCTTCATGCAAACTATTTCTTGTCTTACTGTATTTAATCATTCACCGTCTATATGTACAAACCATGCCGACCTTGCCATTTGCTATGCTTTGCGTGTTTTCCATGATTATCTTTCCTCTTACAGGGTTTAGTGGAGATCAAAGATTTGGTTTGCATAAGAAGTATTAAAGAAGGAGCTGGCAATGATCTTCTCATTTCATTGTTTACTTGGGGTGGGAGATCAAGGCTATTTCAATTTAACATGGTATTTGTATGCAGTTTTCTGTTAGCTTTTGTTTGACTTTCCAATACGTTGGACAGTACAGAAGAGGAAGAAGATATGTTTTGTGAGACTTCATTATGTTAAAGTAGTTTTTGATTAGCTTATCAATGGACGAAAATGGTGCATCCATCTTTGATATTTCTTGGTTGTAAATTTGAGTTTTGCCTCAGTGGCTTGGCTTGTGGTTAAAGCTAAGGGTCCAATTTTGGGCCATTGGTGATCATTTTTAACGCAATGATTTGCAGACCCCTGTGTGTCAGTGTTAGGCCCTTGGCCCCGTTATGTGCCCCAAAAAAAAAAAAGACTCGGCCTCTACTAAAATCGTGGGGGGGAAAAAAACCCAGAACAAAACTACTTTATTAAGCTTCTGCCCAAAAAAAAAAAAAAAAAAAAGCAACTTTATTAAGTTGAATTGTTAACTCTTACCATATTTGTATACATCCCTATGCCATCTTATGTGGCAGTTGAGATGGACAACCACGTCAATTAAAATTATTTAATATTTTCTTTTCTTTTATGATTTATTCCAATATTTGTTTTTCTAATTGTCTTAATTAAAATACACTTTATTGATTTAATTGATGTGGCATATAATATGGACATGCCACATCATGTGGTATAGAAATATGAGATAAAAATGTGGTAAGTGTAGTATTACTCATTGTTACAAGATACTTTATAAACTCTTTAGTTTTTAAATGTTCATTTCTTCAATTTAAAATGATGAAAAATAATACTTTTGAAATAAAAAAAAATAGGAGTTTCACTAAAACACCCAAAATGGGAGCTGAAATTATAAAAAAACCTAACACCCAAAACACTTTATAAGCACACATAAAATCCATCATTACACACACTGAAAACCCATTTATAAACACACCAAAAAAATATACAATTGTTGACTTTGAGGTTGATTTTGGGTGTGTTTATATGTTTAAATAGTGTTTGAGTTTTTTTTATAAATACATGTTTAGGATTGAGTTTAATTATAAATTTGTACAAAAAAAATTAACACATTTCTCCCTTTGCTTCACGAGGATACGGTTAAAAGCATGTACAGTTCAATTAACCTTTTCTTCTTCTTCTTATAAAAACAATAATTTAATTTAATTTAATTTATGGAATAGAGGGATTCGAACTTTGATGTAAAGCGTAAGCTCCTTGTCGTTACCAACTGACTTAACTCACATTTAGGATGGTAATAGGGCGAATCGGGGATTGGTATGCCATGTTCCCCATCCCTGCCTCCATATGGGTAATATTCAAATTGGGGATTCCCCATCCCCTCCTTCGTTGGGGTACAAATTCCAAAGCCTCGCCCCATTACAAAATACCAATGAAAAAATAATTTATGAATGAGGAAAAAAAAAAAAAGTTAGAAACTAAACATACAATACAAAAGTTTTGTTTTATACTTAATTCAATATATGTAGAAGGAATATAAAATATGGGGATTAGAATACCATATCCCAAACACCATATTAAAAAATTTCCCTAAATCCATCCCCATATCCAATTTATATCCTTTATACTCTCATTAAGGTTGAAGTCTTGCAAAGACTGTAACCATGGTGGGGAAAATTGTCATCCCTACTCACATCTACCACATTTTTTAAAATTTATTTTAAACCCAATTATAATTTTGAAAAATAATAGTTTCAGATTTAAAAAAAATAAATTCATAAAACAACAAAGAAAATATTAATTGGCATTTTGTTACCAAAATGGGTCCAGTCATCCTTCAGCATTCCCCGTCCGTACTATATATATTTGTTAATTGTTGCGAAAGAAAATCTAAAATCCTACGGTAGGGAGAGTAGCCAAGTTAATTTCTCTTCAAGCAATCGTACGGTCCATATTTGAGACGGAAGCCAAATCAACTTCGTAATCTGTATAAGACTACGACTGACTCAAAAGCATCCGCCATCCCACATTCCAAATCAATCCAACGGAGATAAAAACACCCACGTCACCAATCCTCGTGAAATCCCAAAACCCAATCAGAACCAACCTCACCACACTATATAAACACTCGCGCACTCTCCTCTCCATCCACCAAAATCCCTGAATTCACTCTGTGTGTAGAAGACCGTTCTCCTTCTCATTCGTCAGTTCGTTCGTATCGGATCAGAAGCAACAAAAAATCGGTGAAATGGCGCCAACTAAGGCCGAGAAAAAACCAGTCGCAGAGAAAGCCCCGGCGGAGAAGCAGCCGAAGGCCGAGAAGAAGATCCCCAAGGAAGGCGGCGTCGAGAAGAAGAAGAAGAAGGTGAAGAAGAGCACCGAGACGTACAAGATCTACATCTTCAAGGTCCTGAAGCAAGTGCACCCCGATATCGGGATCTCCAGCAAGGCCATGGGGATCATGAACAGCTTCATCAACGACATATTCGAGAAGCTCGCGCAGGAGGCCTCACGATTGGCTCGCTACAACAAGAAGCCCACCATTACGTCGCGGGAGATCCAGACCGCGGTCAGGCTGGTCCTGCCCGGTGAGCTAGCCAAACACGCCGTTTCCGAGGGCACCAAGGCCGTCACCAAATTTACCAGTTGTTAATTTTTTTTTTTCTCTCTTAAGATAATTTTTTGTGATTTTTTTTGTTATTATAAATATTTTGTTGATCCAGGTTTCTGGATATGGTGTTAGGGCAAATTGGATATATTAATGAAATTGGATCCTTCAATTTAATAAGATGTGCGGAGAGGTTTCATATGGTGCATGTTTTATTTTGTGGGATTGGTTTCATCTGAATCTGGTATGAATTTTGGTAATTTTGTTAAGACCAATGAAAATAAGGAGGAAGAGGAGGGTAAAGAAATAAGTTGAATTGCTGCAAATCAACCTTTGAGTTGCTTACATTTTTTTTTTTTTTTTTTTTTTTATAAACCTAAGTGATTCGTTGATGAAAATAGTTGAATAAAATCTTTGAACAAGTCATCTTAAATGAGATCTGAAGGGGACTCGAACCATGAACATATAACCATTAATGAAAGAGCATAAGGAACAAACAGTATCAAAAGTTGAATAAAATTTTGAGTTTAAAAACGATTTGGTAGCAATAGTTGCGTCTTTTCAATAGCTTTCAAGGGTTTTTTTGCCCCTCCTTTTTTTTTTTTTTTTTTCGAGAAAAAATAAAAATTAGAAAAAAGGCCAATCTTTTGTTAAAATAAAAACGCTAGAAGGAGGGCTCGAACCTCCGACCTTGTGGTTAACAGCCACACGCTCTAGCCAACTGAGCTATTCCAGCTTTTGATTATTTTTCTATGATATTTCATTTATAAACGCTTATCCGTAAGCATTCAAATGCTGCACCAAATTTTTCATCAAGGATTTCAAGTTCAGTCACAATTCTGGCCCGAGTTTAACCGCCCTGGTAAACAGGACTGTTTTGTGTTTTTACAATACAACAAATTGTCATCCACCTTGATTTAGAATCTTTATTGAAACACCCAAGCATCATGAAGCAGATGCTCTCCAAATAGTAAGAACAAAGTGCAAACACACACAAGCGAATTATGTCCAATTGCAGCATTGCAACAAGTGAAATCTAGAAGGGGGCTAATTTCATTTCATCAGAAACATGGATGTTCTACAATTGGAAACACAGAGTACAATGGACTGAAATCCTAGGGTGATAATGACACATATGAACCATCCTACTAACCAAGTGCACACATGAAGATTTCCATACAGAGATACATTAATTTACTACCCAGAGACACTACTAGCTAGACAATTTAAGCCTTCTTGGGGGACTTGGTGGCGGTGCCCTTGGCCGGAGACTTGGGCTCCTTCTTCGCAACCCTCTCTGGCTTCTTCGGCAGAAGCACAGGGTTGATGTTGGGAAGCACACCTCCATGGGCAATTGTCACACCAGCAAGGAGCTTTCCGAGTTCTTCATCGTTCCTCACGGCCAATAGCACATGCCTCGGAATAATGCGGTTCTTCTTGTTGTCTCTTGCAGCATTTCCAGCCAGTTCCAAAACCTAACCAAATCACTCCCATCACGGTTAACACTAACTCATAGCAACTCATAGATCATGGTTTATGCCATATACACCATATGCTTGAACCCCATTTGGCCACTGAGAACAATGTAGGCAAATTACAACAAAATAAAACAGAACCCATAGAACAAATAAACTCACTTGTTATCAAATATTGAATCTTTGATTTTGAAATTGAGGGAATCAATTGAAACCCGTGATCAAAGTATCAACTATCAAACTCAGAACCCAATTAAGTAGCTGACCTATATCACAAAAATTACGACCTCAAGGGCCTGTTTGCATGCGAAATTGAAAAGCCTAACTGAGATGTTTCAGTAAAGGTAAGCTAAGCTGACTCTTGGTTTGCTCTACAATTAGAAAAGCCACGATTTTCCATTTCCATTTCCATCAGTATCTTACCCACCAAACAGATCCCAACTGAAAATCAAAATCAGAAACCCTAAGAGCCTTAAGCAACATATCAGCTCAATCAGAGAGAGACAGAGACAGAGACAGAGGAAACTAAGGTTACCTCAGCAGCAAGGTACTCGAGCACAGCAGCCAGGTAAACAGGAGCTCCGGTTCCGATTCGCTTAGAGTATCGGCCATTTTTTAAATACCGGCCAATACGTCCAACCGGGAACTGCAGACCGGCTTTCACGGACCGAGACACCGGTTTTTTTTTGGGACCGCCTGCCCTCCTTCCTCCGGCGCCTTTCTTGAACTTTACCCCGGTGTCCATCACTCTGCCTCGGAACTTCTGAATTGAATTTCCCGAGAAACAAACAGAAACAATAAAAATGTAAAAGTCAAATTTTGGGAAATGGTGCTCGAGTAGAAAAGAGATATATACAGGCTAACTAAGGTTAGAAGACCAAGAATGGTTTGGAATCCGGGGACGGTGGCCGTTGGATTGGCTCCGATCGACGGTTGTGGGAATCTGAGTTGGCAATCCGACAGTGTGGAGTGGACCAAAGGGGTGTTAGTTGAACAGTAGAGTGCAATAGTGACAACAACCCAGGTGGAGGTCCCATGGGGGTTGTTCTTTCTCTTATTAGATAAGTTCCAATTTGGGCTACCGCTCGTGGCCATGAGTATTTATTGATAGGGTATACTAGTGATTTGTCCTCTGAACTTGTATTTAACTTTCGATTGACCCCATATTCTATTTTTTTTTTTAGAAAATTAAAGATATGAAGTTCTTTTTTTCACCAATTTTCCTCTTGTCGTCTAAATCTGCAACATTTTAACCAATTTGCTGTTAAATAAGAAATGGTCATTTTATACATTAAAAATAAATTTAAAAAATGAAAAATAAAGTAAAACCCAAAAAATTCAAAAAATACTCTATCTCTCTCTCTCTCTCTCTCTCTGTAGAAAAATATATTTGGCTTGAATGAATATTTCATTAATAACATAGAGATATGTACACGAGTTTTCCTTGTACAATAAGGAATCCTACAATCTAGGAATTCCATCTAAGGGAAGGATTGGATAATGAATCAATTACAAATTCTTTCCGATCTAAAATACATTTACTTTCTAACACTCCCCCTCAAGTTGGAGAGTGAATGTCAAGAACGCCCAACTTGCGTAACATAGTTGAAAACTTCTCCTTGCCCAAAGGTTTCGCAAATGTATCAGCTAGTTGTTGCGAAGAATTCACATGCCATGTAGAAATAGTACCATCAAGTATTTTGTCATGAATAAAATGACAATCCATCTCAATATGTCGTGTTCTCTCATGGAAGACTGGATTTGCTGCTATATGTAATGCCGCCTGATTATCACAATACATACAAGATGCTCCTGAAGATGGCAAGTGCAAATCTTGCAACAGAAAACGTAACCAAGTAACCTCACAACAGGTGCTTGCCATGGCCCTATATTCGGCTTCTGCAGAGGACAATGAAACCGTCCTTTGTCTCTTTGTTCGCCGGGAAATCAATGAATTACCCAAGAATACACAATATCCAGTAGTTGAAAGGCGGGTTATGGGACAACCAGCCCAATCCGAATCACAATAAGTAATTAAATCTAACTTGTTATCAGACTGAAAAAGCAAACCTTGACCTGGAGTAGACTTCAGATATCGAACAACCTGAAGAGCAGCATCCATGTGAGGTAATCGTGGCTGGTGCATGAAACGGCTTAGGACATGTACCGAATAGGTGATGTCTGGTCGGGTAATAGTTAGATAAAGCAGTCGTCCCACCAATCGTCTGTATTTTTGGGGATCTTTGAGTAGTTCACCTTTGTCAGAAAGCTTAGCTTCCTCCATTGGAAAGTCAATTGGTCGAGCACCTAAGAACCCATAATCTTTGAGTATCTCAAGTGCATATTTTCTTTGTGAAACATAAATACCTTTCTTGGATCTGGAGACTTCAATACCCAAAAAATATTTCAAATCGCCTAAGTCTTTGATACGGAAATGGGTGTGTAGAAAACTTTTGAGAGAATTAATGGCATCAATATCATTTCCTGTAATCAGAATATCATCAACATAAATTAATAATGCTGTAAAAGACTTGCCATCTTTGCGGGTGAAGAGAGAATAATCGGCTTTTGACTGGATAAAACCAGCAGCAAGGATGGCTTCAGTAAACTTGGCAAACCACTGTCGAGAAGCCTGTTTGAGTCCATAAAGAGATTTGTGGAGGCGACACACAAGATTCTCCCCCTGTCGCCGAAGACCAGGAGGAGGAGACATATAGATTTCCTCATGTAAATCACCATGGAGAAAGGCATTATAAACATAAAGTTGATGGATAACCCAATGCTGACTGGCGGCGACAGCCAAAAGACAACAAACTGTGATCATCTTGGCAGTGGGAGAAAAAGTTTCATGATAATCCAGGCCCTCTGTTTGAGTAAAACCTTTGGCAACAAGACGAGCTTTGTAGCGCTCGATAGAACCATCAGCACGGTGTTTGATCTTGTACACCTACTTGCAGTCAATGGGAAATTTTCCATGAGGCAAAGGAGTAAGGGTCCAAGTGTGATTGTCAGCAAGAGCAGCAAGTTCAGAGTCCATAGCCTCACGCCAGCAAGGATTGCTGTTGGCCTCTGCGAAAGAGAAGGTTCTACACTTCGACTGATGGAGTTAACAAAATAAAGATGTTTGTGCAGGGGAAAACGAGTACCTGGTGATGGACTGGTTGGCGAAGACGAGGAATGATGTGGGGGAAGAATCACCTGCAAGCAAACGAAGTCTTTGAGGCGTGTGGAGGGATGCTTGGGACGAGATGAGATACGAGTGGGCTGAGCTGTGTCAGGTGATGCCTGGGTAGGGGGTACATCAACAGGAAGTGATGCCTAGGTGCTAGCGGAAGGAGGGAGGTCCGTGGGAAGAGGAAGATCAAGAGCGGGTTGATGGAGGAGGTCTGAGCCCGGGGCAGGACTGGCGGTGGACGGAGAAGAAGGGGAAAGGTCGTAGTATAAAGGGAATGGGTCCGGGCCAGTGAAGGGCAATACGGGGAGGGAGGGTTCGGTGGTATGTGGTGGTGTGGGTGTGTCGGGGCTGGAGAAAGTGAATTTGTTTTCCAGAAAGAGAACGTCGCTGCTAGTGAAAATTTTATGGGTTTCAAGGTCATAGAGTTGTAAGCTTTCTGACCAATGGGATAGCCAATAAAAACGGATTTGTGGGCTCGAGGAGAGAATTTGGAGCTGGGGTGAACAGATGTGGCATAGGCAAGGCAACCAAAAACTTTCATATGGTGGTAAGAGGGTGCTTTGTGGTAGAGAATGTCAAAAGGGTTTTGTTGTTAAGGAGATATGTAGGGAAGCGATTGATGAGGTAAGCGGCAGTAAGAACACATTCCCCCCAAAATTTGATGGGCAAATTAGATTGAAAACGAAAGGCTCGTGCAGTTTCAAGGAGATGGCGGTGTTTGCGTTCTACAACTCCATTTTGTTGGGGTGTGTAAATGCAAGAGTGTTGATAAATTATCCCATGGTCAGAAAAGAAATTGCGCATGGAGAAAAATTCTCCCCCATTGTCAACACGGATTTGTTGAACTTTGCGATGAAATTGTGTGTCAACATAGGCAAAAAAGGTTTTAAAGAGGGCTTGTGTTTCATGTTTATGTTCCAAAAAAAAACCCAAGTAAAACGAGAAAAATCATCAACTATGGATAAAAAATAGTAAGCCCCAGTAAGAGAGGGATGTCTATTAGGACCCCAAATGTCACAATGTAAAAGAGAAAAAGGTCTAGAAGTTGAAATAGAGCTAAGTCCGAAAGGTTGGCGGGTTTGTTTCTCCAACGGACAAATATCACAAACATGACGAGAATCAAAGGAGCAATTTAAAGAGGTACTAGCTAAGAATTGTAAACAGGCTGGGGAAAGGTGTCCTAGCCGGCGGTGCCAAAGGTCAATGGAGGTGGTGATAAGGTGACAGGAAGATGGACGGTTATTGGAGTGGTGGAGGCGAACGCCACTAGGTAGTAAAGATCTCCTTGTCGCTTACCCACACCAATCGTCGTCTTCGAAACCAAGTCATACAAAATAACCCAAGAAGGAAAAAAAATTACAGAACAACGTAACCCATCTGTAATTTTACCAATGGATAAAAGATTAATGTTGAAACTAGGCACACATAAAACATCTTTCAATTTTGTATGGGAATTTAATGAAATTGTTCATGTCAAAGTGATCGGAGCCTTGTCTCTACTAGGCAAGGAAACGTGAGGTGAATGAGTGGTGGAAGTGCTGTTCGTCAATAAATGAGAAGAACATGTGATGTGATCTGTCGCACCACTGTCAATGATCCATGGACCATGAGAGGAAGCGATGGGTGACAAACCTTGAGAAAAAGGACTGGCAGAAGCTGTATGTGCTCGCGGGTTGGAAGGAGAGGAACTGGATGTCTCAACCATCACGAACATGATTTGTTGATATTGGCTGTCGGATAAGTAGGGCATCGCGGACTGAATATCTTGGAGAGTTGGGGCATGAGCGGTGACTTGGTGGGCAGCAAAGGAGGCATGGGAACGGTGGCTGCTGTCGCCAGTGCTGTTGGTGTTGTGCCAACTGTTGCTACCGTTGTTATTGTGGTTGCGACGTGGATTGGGCTTCTGGCCATAATGGGGGTGATCGGGTGGGTACCCATGAAGTTGGTAACAGGTATCTCAGGTATGGTGATAATAGTTGCAATAAGTGCAGTGGAGTGGAGGTCGATCTCCTCCTGGACGGGAGCGAGAATCATGACGAACGGCCATGGCTGCAGCCTGGGAATCTAGAGTACGTGTGGAGCCAAGTTCCCACTGTTTCTCTTCCTGTGAAATGAAGGAATATGCTTGTCGAGCCAACGGGAGAGGTTTCATCAACAAAATCGGGCCACGGATGGCACTGTAGGATTCAGGTAATCCCATGAGAAACTGCATAAGTCTATTGGTTTCGTTATGTGCGCTGCATGTGCAAGATGTGGCCTCACTGAAGGATGCCAACTCGTCCCAAAACCCCTTTAATTTGGAGTAATATGCAGCAATAGAAAGCTGTCCTTGAGTGAGAGAAGCAATCTCACGGTTGATTTGGAAGAGACGAGGGACATTGTTTTGAGAAAAACGCTCGCGAAGGTCATCCCAAATTTCGTGAGCGGTGGATAAGTAAATGATGCTGTCAGCAACATCTGGTTCCAAAGAAGTCAAAAGCCACGACACCACCATGTCGTTGCTTCGCTGCCATGCCACAGAATCGAGAGGGTGCTTATCTGCCTTTGGTTTCTTGATGGATCCATCTATGAACCCAATTTTATTTTTAGCACTAAGAGAGATCTTCATCGAGCGAGACCAAGTGTTGTAGTTGTCGCCATTGAGTTTCTTTGAAACAATAACCAACCCGGGGTGGTCTGAGTGGTTGAGAAAAGAGGGTCAGCAGCTTCATTGCCGCCCTTTGCGGAGGAGCCGTCGTCACCCATGTATGACAGACGAGAGAAGGAAAAAAAAGCTAGGTTTTTGAAACCTGCTCTGATACCATGTAGAAAAATATATTTGGCTTGAATGAATATTTCATTAATAACATAGAGACATATATACGAGTTTTCCTTGTACAATAAGGAATCCTACAATCTAGGAATTCCATCTAAAGGAAGGATTGGATAATGAATCAATTACAAATTCTTTCCTATCTAAAATACATTTACTTTCTAACACACACTCTCTCTCTTTGCAGGTGTAGATGAAGAAAACCCAAGAAGGAGGGGGTAAAAAAACAAAAGGGAGGAGGTGAGGGCAGGGGTTTGTGGGGTGGGCGATTGGTTTAGGAGTGGAGGGCGGTGGTCATGGGGGAATGA